CTGCAATGCCCTCCTCTCTTCCTTGACCAATTGTAACCTTTTCTCCTGGCCTTTGAGGGTGAGCTTGTCACCAAAGCAAAGCCTTCCGAGACACTCCAAGACAGCAATCAATACTCCCTGCCCTGGACTCCCACAGCACACGTCTTCATTTCATTTCATTCATTCATCAGATACGTGCTGTGGACGTACTACGTGCCTGACATTAAACAGCAAATCCAAAACATGGAGAGACGTGCCACAAGACAAGGGGGCAAGACTGGTGTGGCTCAGTGGATAGAGTGTCGGCCTGCGGACTGAAAGGTCCCAGGTTCGATTCCAGTCAAGGGCATGTACCTTGGTTGCGGGCACATTCCCAGTAGGGGGCGTGCAGGAGGCAGCTGATCAATGTTTCTCTCTCATCGATGTTTCTAACTCTCTATCCCTCTCGCTTCCTCTCTGTAAAAAATCAATAAAATATATTTAAAGAAAGAAGAAAAAGACAAGGGGGCGGGGGCTGTGGGAGACACAGCGGGAATGTCAGATACCCCAGATCTTCCCCAGGCTGCGTCTCAGTGCCCTGGATTGGCTGTCTGCTTGCTGATCTCCCTGATGTTGGTATTTTAATTTCATATGCACCCCTAACTCCTCAGCACGGGGCCTGCCATGCAGCAGACATGCATTTGGATTTTTATATCAATAAAGTAATTCCTTTTTACAGAGCACCTGCTATTTGCTTGGCACTGTTCTATGTGCTCTGGAAAAGATGTGAAGAAAGCAGACCAATCCCCTGCCTTCATGCGGCTTACATTCTAGTGGGGCTACAATGTAATTGAGTGAATTATTTACAAATCTAGTTTATTAATTAGCATGCTGAGAAGAGACTGAATGGGAGCAGGAGTTGAGAGGCAGTAGAATATAGCAAAACTCTGTATATGACCTAAACAGGATTCTCAATTCCCCACTCCCCGTACCTCCAACACTCCTACCTGCTTCTCCCTCAGAGTGGCCCATCTCAGTAATGGACGCCAATATTCATTTATTTCCTCCCCAGTAACCCCAAATACCTCCACCTCTTTCCACCCCCATGGCCACAAGCTGGTCCAGGCCACCACTGTCTCTGGCTTGGAGCCCAGCAATAGCTGCCTTCCTGTCTCCCTGCCTCCAGGTCTGGTTTTCACATTCCATGTTCTACCAGCCTCCTCCAGGTTGTTTCTTATGCTTCAACCTCATTTTCATGGCCTCCAGGCTCTCAGCCTAAAATATTTCCCATCATTATCCTTGTATAAGCCATACTTAGCATTTCCCCTAGAACTGGCCAATCGTCTTTCCCATGCGTGCACACTTCTGAATCTTTGCACATGCTGTTCCCTCCTTCTGGAATGCTCTTCCTCTTCTCAGCGCCCCTCCACTCTTCTCAGCTCCCCTCCACGCATTCCATATTGGCCTAGCTTACTCTTTCTCATTCCTACATCTCAGCTTACATGTCCTGTCCTCCAGATGTTCCTCACTCCTGAGGATGGATTTGGTTTTCCTGCTCCGTGGCCCCATAGCATCCCTCACCCAACTGTGGCTATTCCTTACTTGTCGGTTTCTCCTGCTTGTCTTCAGGTCCATGGAGGTAGAAACCATGTCTGCCCTGCTCAACATCCCCAGGAATCTGCATGGTACCTGACACATAGTAGTTGCTTAATTTGTTGAATGAATAAATGAATAAACATGGGACTTGGAGTGAGTAGAACTTGAAGCAGTGCAAAATGTTCAGATCTCTGCTATTTCACATACCTTAATATATGACCTTGAGACTTCATACAAGACCTCTCTGAGTCACTGTTTATTCATTTATAGGATAAGAGGGTAATATGCATTTGCAGGGTTCTTGGAAAGTTAAGTGTGAGAATCTGTGTGAAAATGCCTGGCACCTAGAAGTTACTCCCTAAATGCTTGTCAGATCTGTGGATGAGTAGGAAATAGACTAGGTGTAATACCCTTATTCAGGAAATTCATAGCTTGGGTCACAGCACAGTGGTAAGGATATAGGCTCTTAAGCTGGGCAGCTGGGTTGGACTACCAGCTCTGTCACTCACTAAATGGACAACCTTAGGCCAAATACTTAAAAACCATTATGTGACTCAGTTTCCTCATCTGTAAAATGGGAATAATGATGGAATTCAGCTTAGATCAGCACCTGGCACATTAGCTATTGTCATTGCTTTTAACATATAACACTGACAACCACACAGTAAGGCTCTTGCCTGTGGTCCTCCTTAGCAGGTGAAGAGAGAGTTTCAGAGAAGTGAAGTGACTGCACAAGGTCAAACAATGAGGAAATGTCAGCCTTGTGCTTCAAGGCCAGGTCTGCTGCTCCCAAATCCCATGTTATTTTCACTCCATCAAAGAAGGAGCTCAAAATAGGCCTGTGGCATTTCAGCTAATTTCCTCTAAGCCCTTACCGAGTAACCAACCGCGGGCACACAAAGCTGCTCCCCTAAGAGCATCCATTCAGCAGCTGCTAAGTATGTGTGCCTGGTGGATCCAGACCATCTAATGGGACTTGCACCAAGCCAGCTCTTCCCAGGTGACCTTGCCTGGTCTGCAGAAGGGACCTACGGAGTAGAGCTGGGGTAGGAAGGGGCAGAGGGTGGTACGTGAGTTAGATGGAAAAAGAAGCTGGAGACCAACTGGATGTAAATGGGGGGAGAGTGCCTATTATGTACCAGGAATTTCATCTATCTCATACTATTTAACCTCACTATGATCACTCGGCCATTGTTTATTAAGCATCTACTATTAGCTCTGGACTAGGTCCCGAAGATGTAACGGTGAGAAAGACACAGCTATTGACTTCAAAGGGCTCCCAAGTCAGTAGGAGAGATAACACATACACACTGAAGTGCTATGAATGAGATGGTAGAGGCCTGAGCAGGGTGGCAACAGTGAAAAGCAGGGAGTAGCTGGGAATAACATCAGAAAAAAAGAAGGCGGGTGTTAATGTGCCCACTTAACATATTGTGAAACTGATGCTCTGGGAAGTGGACTTGTTTGGAGTCGAACTATGCCATCAGGTCTATTCTGTCTCCAGAAGTCTCTTTCTTTCCATACTTGCAGTCTGAAAGCTCTTACCTTCCTCCCCAACCCCCTTTCCTTTTCTCAATGATTATCTAGCCAGAAGATTAACAAAATGCTGCTAAAGCCGGGGCCGCTGTCAGTGGCTAAGATGTTAGCTGCTTCTGTGGACAATCAGAAGCTCTGAGCCTCTCTTACTGATTTCATTTGAGCAAAAGATTCAGGGGTTGGTGTGAAAGGGGTGGGGAGATGAGAAGGAGGTCTCTATCTCCAGTCTGAAGGGACTTCTAGGACAGGTCAAAGGTGACAGAGTGAGGGCAAGCTTCTCAGGCTTGTGTGGCTATACGAAAGCCTCTCTCCACTGCCCCCAAAAGGCCTAGTCTATCTAAGAGCCCTTCCTGCTTGCTCTTCACTTTTTCCTCAAAAATGGGAGCCAAGAAAACCACCCACCTGTCCCACTGGCTGAATGTGCTGGGTTCCCTGCTGAGTGGGATCCATAGATCTGCCCCTTCCCATCCCCATCCTCACAGGACAAGAAACCAAGCTGGAGAAATCTTCAGTCTGCAAATGTAGCTCTTTCTATAGCCTACAGGTACCTTAGCAGGGGTGTGAAATCTTCATTCTGTTCTCCAGACACCAGAACCCTCTCCAGGTGCCAGAAGCACAGCAGTCCCCCCTCACAGGGTGATAGAAGAGAGCAGAGAGGGAGAGAAGGGAGTATCATGCAGGTGGAGAAACAGGTAGTTTTCCTACACACACACAAGAATTCATTGGACATGCCTGCAGGTCATCTCTGAGGTAAGGGAACAAGTTGGGCAACACCAAAGAAAGTCTAATTTTAATTCAGTCATGTATTACATACTCTTTGAAAATAACCAGATCTCTGAGAAATTGTTAAGTAAAATAAAAAAATGGAGAGAGAGGCCAGAAAGTATGAAATAATTGAATTATGAAATTACATCTCTAACCCCCAACTGACCCATCAGACTCACAGCTCTCTCTAGGCTCCACCCCATCCCCCCACCCCACCCCCCAAAAATAAAGACAGTGCACCCTCCATCATGCCTCATGTGTTTTCACTCACTTAACTATGAAGCTGATCAGAGGGGAAAAAAGGAATCAGTAGCAGCAGGAATCTGATGTGCTGCGTTTTCCAGAGTTTACATTAAGGAAAAGTTGCACATATAGAAACAAGAGGTGATGCTGTGATTAACCCAGGATAAGGATTCTGCAGAGGAGGAGATGTGTTAGGATGTGCTTCAGTGTTCCCAGCAGGGAGATTTTTATCTCTTCCAATCCAGTTTATGAATGGCATGGGAAACTTAAGAAGGGTTCACATTTCACCCACTTCCCCTACAAACATGTTTATCTGTAAGATGAAAATCATTGCCCAAGTCCCAGCCACCACTCACCCTTCCTTACCCTTTTCCATGAATAATCTTTCCAAAATGTCTGCTTGTAGGAGCAAGATTTCGAATTTCACGGTAAACTACAGAGAGACACACACACAGTGCACTGCACACCCCCACTTCACCAATAAGAGACAAAGAGACAAGAGAGGAACAACCAAAAGGAGACGCCGCTAACGTGGCAATAAAATAAAATAAACTCCCAAGCAGCAAAGTGAAACTGATGATTTAAAAAACAGAGAAAGACCTTGTTTGTAATTACCCATCCAGGTTATATTTTCACCGCTTCCAGGCAGAGAGAAACGGCTGGTTGAAGTTTTGTGCCCATCTGATTGTGATGGGAGGGTTGTATTTGAAGCTCTGGGCACGTAGAGATGGAATGAGAAAGAGGCTGAGCTGGAAGAAACACCAAGGGGGAGGGAGGGAGGGGGAGAGAGAGTGGGGGGGGGGCAGAGGGAAAGGGAGCGAGCTATCTCTAGCTACGCCTTCCTCTAAGCTCTGGGAGCCCAGGAGAGCGCTCATTTTAGGGTTTGGGAGAGGAGTAAAAAGAGGAAAGGCGCTCCCCCCAGCTCTGCCCTGGCCTCGCTGCCCGCTGCCGGGAGGGGAGGGAGGACTCTGGCCCGCGCCCCCCTCCTGGCCGGCCGCCCTGCCTGCCCGGGCGCGCGCGGAGCGGGAGGCGCAGGGAGCTGTCCAGTTCAGCACCACCCGGTAATGCAGTAGGTGGGAGCGCCTCCGCCGGGCCGGCGGGCAGGGAGTTGGGGGGGGGGCCGGCAGGCGGGCGGCCCATCCTGCAGCAAGACGCCGGCTCCCTTGTTTCCAGGAGCTTTGCAGATAGGGGGAGGGAAACCCGCCTCGATTCTCCGGGAGAAACCCCTTCCCTCCCCCACTTCGCCAACACTACCCCGCCACCAACAACAATAACCGCCGCCGCTGCTCGTCCTGCCGCCGCTGCGCCTGCCCGCCCTGCTGCTGCCGCCGCTGCCGCTGCCACTGCCGGGGCAAAACCATGGAAGGCGAGACCCCCGCACCTGTTCAGCTGAGATCAAGGGCTTACAGAATACTGGGAAGTCTGGTCTGAAACGAAAGCGCCGAGACCCCCCAAGGAAGAGAACTGGCGAAGCAAAGGATTTTCATGGCGCAGGCCGCAGAGACGGAAGGTTGCATCTCGGCTTTTACAATCTCTAACTGTCTAGGTCCCGACCATGAGAGATTGTGTTGAGAATGCGGCTGTTCCCTGGTTCACTGTGGAAGCCATCTCCAAATTAGCTATCACATATGGAAACTGGAGACCAGAATTTTAGGAAAAGAGCTTAAGGCATCTCACTTGGGGGGGGTGGGGGGTGTCTTTTTATTTTATTTTTCCTTTTTTTAAAAAAAAAAATCACTGCAACTGGAACAGTTTCTGATCTCAAAAGGCAAGCCTCTCTTCCCGTGTGATCTTTATAATTTATACTCTTTTCCGTGAGCTTTCTTACTTCCCCTTTTTTATATCTCTCCATAATCTCTATTCACACATATATCCATTATATTAGTAGTGGAATTATTTTTATTTTATTTTTTGCTTTAGTACTTGCACCCTCACACACACTCTCCCGAGAACCAGAAGTCGGTTGGGTGTTTATATAATGAAGAATTATGGGGCTGTTTGATCGAGGTGTTCAAATGCTTTTAACCACCGTTGGTGCTTTCGCTGCCTTCAGTCTGATGACCATAGCTGTGGGAACCGACTATTGGCTCTACTCCAGAGGGGTTTGCAAGAGCAAAAGTGTCAGTGAGAATGAAACCAGCAAAAAGAACGAGGAAGTTATGACCCATTCTGGATTATGGAGAACCTGCTGCCTAGAAGGTATTTGATTTCCCATCTCCTCCCCCTCTCCACCCCACCCCTCCCCACCCCTCCCCGCTTCCCCTCCCCACCCTCCTCTGGATAAGTCCCCTTCACATTCCACCATTTTCTTACTTCACTCCTTCCACCACGGATCAAGGTTGCTTGGGTTAGTTTCAGAGGAAAGGAAATCAATAACCCAAAGCCATTCTCAACTCTCAAGCCACCACCACCTCCCTTTCCCCAGACCTCTTCATTGGAATAATCTATGATGTGATGAAAACAACAAGGGATTGTCTTTAAAAGTCAAATGTGTTCTGCCTACTTCGGAATCATTAGGATTTGCCATTTGATGTAGTCTTGCCATCTATGGGGGGAGGATAATTGTTTCTCTCACACTGTTTTGAGAGAAATTCAAAAATGTTCTTCCTTTCCCCCTCCTCTTCCCCTTACTCCCCAAAAGTCCCAGACACATCATCATCTGAAAATCTCCTGTAAAAAAAAAATTGTTTCTAAGAATCCTTACTTGGTAAATCCTAATTATTCCAGGATCTCAAGCTGAGTTCAAGAGCATTTCGTAATGTCTATGAGCTACACATATTGTTGGAGGCGACTGGCTGTGTGTGTATGTGTGTTTTAATGTTTACAAAGTCTAAAAATACATACGTCTCTCACAGGAAACAAGCCCAAGTTCTAATAAACAGAGATTCACTTGCAGGTTAAGCTGAGAACCAATTCACTTCCACGCAGAGTGACATGTCTGTTATCCAGACGCGCGTAGAGTCAGCATTGCAGCCAGTTGGAGAATCAGACATTGTGCAGGGAGGCCAGGGAGGGAGGCGAGGGCATGGGCAGGTTGGGGGGGGGGGGGACAGGAGAGCAGTGGGACAGGGGTGTCAGCCGTTTTCCTTGATCTTGCAGGGTCATTGGGACATATGTGCCAGTGCATGTGCTGTGGGGGGAGGGGTCCCTACAGTGTAAAGCCTGGGTGATCAGGGTGCGGATGAAGGCATGTGCTTCTGAGACACACTAATAAGCACTGAAAAAAACTCCTGCAGGTCATACGATCTGCATTTAGCAACAGACTTTAATGGGAGGGACTGTGTTTGAATGGTTACAGCCACCCATAGAAAGACGTGCACAGAGAGATACACGTTTCTGTGTGGAGAGAAGGCTTATGTGCTTTGCTTCTGATTTGAGCCAATACTGAAGGCTGTTGGAGGCAGCGTCGGGAAGCAGAGACTGCAGGATTGTTTAAGCTCAACATGGGATGGTAATGCAGGGAGTAGAAGCCAGGAGATGGGGGGAGCAAAGAGCAAAATGGACAGGAGTGGGAGAAACTGATGTGACCCCAGGGTCTAATCCAAACTGAGCAAAAGCCGCTCTCTGGGAGATGGTCGTGTCTGGGAAAGAGCATTAGCTCTGTGCTTCCCCGCCGCCCCCCAACATTCTTGGTGCAAGCGGTTGAGTGATGGCTGGACATGTTTTGAATAGCTAAGTGACTTCAGTGAGCGATGGTCTATTTGACGCATACTGCATTTGGTGCCCTTTCTCAATCCAAACTGCTGCTTTGAACATCGTCTGCATAGCAGCTCTCTGCTGAATACTATATGCTCTTCCCCAGCCAGAGAATCAATATCGGGAAATTAATAGAGACTGTTTTAAACACACCCCTCCTTTAAAAAAAAAAAAATGAAGAGCCTTTCATGCAGCTGGCCATTAACCGCGAAAAGACTTCCATTTAATTAAACATTTATGGCCGACTTTTATTCCGAAAGAGAAGAAAAGCAAAGTGAATGAGGGCTGCTGTAGGGAAACGATCACGTGGCAATTTGCTTCCCTTGGATTTAAGTTAGATGGATGGAGATATGCGGCCACGGGTTAGAGGAAAGCAGGACACTCTTTTAGAACGATCCCCAGCGCTTGGTGACTTGGTCTACATATGCTTTCTTTATGAGGGTTCTATTTGCATTTTCTTATTCCTATGATCTTTTAAACAATTAATAATCCCCAGAAGGCAAGAGGACTAGGGAGAACTTTGGATCAGTTGTGCATTAAAAGGCTTAAATATTTTCATTAAAATTCCATCTGTTTGGTGTCCACATCCCCAAACGTGCTGCCCAACCAGCCCCTTTAACTTTCTCTCCAAGCCACACACCATCTCTCTCCCTGAATCATCCTTAAAAAGCTTAGGCCTGCAACCCTTCCCAAGGGTTGTGTGATGCACACAGGAGCTGTGGGTTCGGCCCCTCTCCCCGGGCTGGGGCCTCCAGGCAGTGAGGGGATGGCTGGGCCAGGCTCCCTTTGAGACCTTCGTTCTGTTTTCACTTGTAGCCAAGGCCCAGGCAGGAAGGGTGAGTGTTCAGGGCCCCCACTCAACCTGGCCTTTCATTCCCAGAGCCTCTGTCCATACGGGCTTTGCAGGCCCCGACCCCCTAGGACGTTGGGCCTTGGCCGCTTAGGAAGTAGTTTGAAGACGTTAAGCCACTTCATTTCAAAGGCTGTGCTGGTTTCCAAAGATCGTAAGCATACTTATTTCTGAAGGCTGGCACAGACGGCTGTTGTGGGGCTCTCATGGGCTTGCTTTTCTGAGCATTCACAATAGGGTCGTCCTTTACGGAAATCAGATTATCGGTGCTTCCGTCTCCCCCAACCTACGGTTTTTGTGAGAAACTGGACTTTCAAAAAAGGTCCCCCATCACCTCTTTATTGTGCCTCCTACCCGTACCCAAGAAGTTGTGAACAGATTTCAGATCTTCTCCCCCAGAGGCTGCTAACGACTCCAGACAGAACACAACCCTGTCTGCTTCTGCTCTCTCCTGCTCTCTGGCTTTCACTGGGCGTTCGTTCTTGAGATGATTTTTTTTTTCTTTCACTTCTTGATGAAAATAAGAATCAGAAAATATTTCCTTGCCTCTCTTGCTGCTTTGGAAATGAATCAGTCTGCTGCAGAATGAGAAGGGACAGGACCACCTGTTAGGGGTGGACACAGCAGGAGGGGACAGGAATCTGGAGGAAACTACCTTTATGTGTTCCCTCTGCAGAGTCAACAACAGCAGTGTCTCCGTGTATGAACTTGAACACCTAACAGGCTGGTGTCCTTAGTGGGGTTGGGAGGTTAGGGGACGGTCTGCATGTGGATACAGGTAGGTAGAGAGTGATGGAAGTTCTTGAACTTTTCACAAAACCTGAGTTAAGAGCCTTGAAATGCAGAGATGAATTGGCCGTTTCTATAAAATCTGCAACAGGACACTAAAACAGCTTGTTCCAGGCGAGTATCTGTGGGCTGTGCAGTGGCTGGCTGCCTAAGACATTAACCTCTGTTGTCACCAAAAGGAATCACTGTCTCCAGGGGCAGCAAGAAATTCACTCCTTGTGTGTATTCTCCCCTGTCCCTTCCCCTGTCCCAGCTGCACGTCTGTCTCCCCCAGAGGATCTCCAGGCCTGCAGAGGAGGAGGCCGGGCTACAGTGTGGTCTGCAGCAGAAACTCACCCTGCTTTCTCGCTCCCTCTCCCACCCCTTTCCCTTCTGTGAGGCACAGCCAAAATCTCTATCTGTGTTCAGACTGTTAATTCCCTCTGCTGAATTTCCAAGCTCCTCTTCCTTCCATGGCTTCTCCTGTCTCCCCCTCCACATGCTGCTTCTCACGGAGGGTCTGCCATACTTCTCCTGCTCTGCTCTCACTGAGCAAGTCGTGTCTCGATTTTCCAAGTCCATGGTTGCACAGCCTTTGCGAGGCTGCGAGGTGGCGAGTGCTCCGCGCAGGGCTCAGCCACGGCTCTCTTGTTCTGAAGAAGGAACGGATGAGTCTGGTATGTTAGGAAGGCCAACCACCTTTCCCAGACACTCTTGTCTTTCAGTATGGACAAGCTGGGTATGGAAGTCACTCATGGGCCTTCATACTGTGTATGAAGGCTCCAGAATTCCCAAGATAATTTGACTGTCTTTTGCACTTTGCACACAGTAGGTGCATAAAAAATATTTATCAATGGATTGACTCAGAAGTTCTTAAAATTGCTGAAATTAATTCAAACATCATAAGGACATGTAACTGTGACAATCAAGTGAGGGGGGCAGTGAGGAAATCAGGCTGGTTTGTTTGTTCTTCCTGGAACTTTTTTTTTTATTAAGAATAATAATGAGTCATGAATTCATTATTATAAAATAAGAGAATTCCAAAGGAGTCAGTCATTGCGGGTGCATTAGCTCCTAACTGGCTAACGAAAAATCATCAGTACATTCAGCCTCTACAGGGAAGGAAAGAATAACCCATTGATTTTCTTCCCTTTCCTGCTTTTCAAGTGTATCAAAGGCCAGTTTGATCTTAATACTCACCAGAATAGACACTGGGCAGAGAGCAGACATCCTGGCCCATCCCTATGTAGCTTCCCCAGAAGCTTCTATTCGTTACCAAACTTCCCCACCAATCCCCCGGACCCTGAGAACACTCCCCATGGTCCTGGGCTCTGCTTGGCAGTTTCCCATAGAACCAGGCCCAGCAGCCCAGCCACTCACCTTGGAATGAGGAACGAACTCTGCAAGTCCCGGGCATTCACACTGCCCTCCTGCCCCTGCCTCCCTGTGATGAGAATGACCCACACAGTGACATACACACACCAGGACACATGGGCAGAAAACGGCAGAGCCAGAACTCGAATCCAGGCCTTTCAGGTCCACCTGCAAGTCTCCAGCGGGCTCCACACACAGCCCCTGGCCCACTTGACTTATCCTCATGGCTGGCATCAGACTCTAGTCTGTCTGCACCCCGTCGAGTGCCAACCTGAGCATGTCAGGAAACCTGAGTCCTGACCCACCCAACACCCAGCACCCTGCACCATGCAGGGTGACAGTTCTGCCCCAGTCTGCTCACTCCCATGAGGCTGAGGGAATGCAATGCTGAACTCCAGGGCAGACCCACCATGCGCCTCCCTGGCTTCGCCCTTGCATTTCGGAAGTGCCCTCAATGTAAACTGTCTGTTAGTTTTACGTTTGCAAGCATTTTTCAAAAAGTGGCAAGTGG